CTCATCGATACAAAAATCCCTGTGGGAGCCGTTGCAATAAGCATGAATTACAGAAACATTGACGCTGTTCTAATTTATACCATGAAGTAAACCCACCACCTGTGTCTAGGTGGAGGAAAGATAAGGAAACATTACTGTCCTTCCTTCCTGTCAGACATACTGAATATTGTTCTCCTACATATGAGAGATCCTCCTTTCTAGAGAAAGGGTGTATATTCACAAGCAATATACAAAAATATGAGTTACAATGTGCCAGTGGATGCTGCATTAGGGGGAAAAAAAAAAAAGAAAATGAAAAGGTACTTTCTGCAAAAATACCCAAATAATTAGAGGAAATGTTTCTAGGTGCATCTATATCTGTAAATTCATAAAAGCAAGGTATACCACAAAATGGAACAATCTTTGCTACAAGTACCTTCTGCAACATGGTAAAAACCAGTAGGATTTACATATGCTTTGATATAAATGTGTTTCTGTATATCCCTAAAACAAGACACAGCCAATACTAAGAAAATCCTTAGCAACAGGTGTTGAAATGTGTTACATCATCAGGAAGGGAGAATAAGATAGGTTTATGAGGCACTGCAGAGATTCTCAACAGTACAGTTCCTTAGACAAGAAAAAAAAAATCAAGAGGAGAGCTAAAAAGATAGTGGTTGGAGAGAGGCAGATCGGTAAGAGAAATTTCTGAAGGAACATATTACATATATATGATGATGTTGTATTTGGCAACAGAACCACCAGACAATCCGTACAATGAGGCTATAGCAGCAAAACCCCAATTCTGAAATTTATTCTGCTTAATGAACATATTAAAGAACTACGAGTTTCTAGAAAACAGAAGAGGACAAAGATAATACCAAAGATAAACTGACGTGATCTGACCAGACAAGTCTAGTACAAGCAAACTGTCCTTGACCTATGTAACATAATATCCATTTGTTAAACAGAAAAACCCCCCACAAACCCCAAACCCTAGAAAGGACAGCATTGGAGTAGTAGAGGGTCTCTTGTGTTTTCTTTACTCCCAGGGGTGTTCTTGAAGCATCAATTCTCAGACTTAATAGTTTGCATACCTACTATACATGAAATTGTAAGTGGCTTCCCATGATGTACCCACCTCAGGATATATAGATCAGACACTTATGACCCTGATCTGTAACAGCTTTATTGCAAGGATATCAGTGATCCAACAAAAATCCTGTTCTGACCCCAAAGTTATGGCAGAGACTTCTCTGCTTACAGCACTTTGGGTTTAAGATTGTTAGCAGCATAGCAGTGTTCTTACTCATGGGCAAGCGTTACAGCCAAAAAAATGAAAGGAGACAGGCACTCACTTTGGTAAGAGGTTTACTATTGATTTCAGTAAAACTAGGATTTAGCTTTTAGGGAAGGTATTTCCAGAGATGAGGCATACTCCTGGGGGTAGTGGTCTCTTGCAGAAGGGGAAAGATTATTTTGTAAATAGACTAACAGAATTTAATTTCCACCTTTTTTTGACCAGCACAATGACAGCCAAGAGATGATGTTTTTATTCTCACTCATTACAAGAATACAGAGATGTTAAGTAATGTTAAGTAACATTAGTATAATAGCAAAAGCATATAAACTGACAGAAAATACATTTAGGCAGTGAGAATACCCTTCTTGAGTTGGAATAAGGAGAAAAAGCTGTAACTGAAGGTGAAGGCTGATTCTGAAAGGATTTGTATGAACACCTATTACACCTGGAAATTGGACTTGATCGAGAAGGTCCCTTTCAATCCTTTGTTCTAAGCGAGAACCAATTCAGTAACTCAGATTCAGGGAAGGTTGGGGGATGTAATATGGCATAATGGAAATGTGGGGAAGAACCTAGGTTTTGTAAAGTAAGTTGCAATTATGTGAACCGGCATGTTAGGTGCAGGCATTACATTACAATACTCAAATTACAGAAGGCAGACCCCAGAATTACACAGCCAGAGACAATCTAGAGACATATCTTTAATGTAAATAATTACTATAATTAAGACAGAACATATCAATGCAAAATAAACATAAACTGTTAATAAAAACAGGTGGTTTTTTTAATTTATTTATAGGCCATTAATTCTTCATCCAAAAGGAAATAAAAATGCAACTGAAGTAACTGATTCATTTGCATTTATGCAAACTTCAGTTCTTCATGATATGAAAGTCCCATATTTTCAACAATATCCAGTCTCAAAATAAGTCTGTGGATGCTGTTACTTAAGGAAAAAAAAAAAAATCCAAAGAGCACTGAAGGAGGATAAAATGGCATTGCAATGCTTCATTTTACGAGCAACTTTGTGATGTTTGACTGGAGGGGCAAATAGTGGCTGTTAACGAGGAGAATTCACATAAAGAGGTACCTTCCTTTCAATATCTCTAACACAAAAAAGTCCATACCCTAACTGTATTGGGCTAAGAATATTCTTTCACCTCTGAAAATGAAATCACTTCTTTTCTCCCCAACACGGACAGGGAGTGGAATGTGTCCTTAAAAATCAAGCAAGACTATGGAGTGGAAAACTGCTCATCACTCAGTCTGGAAAACAGGAACATCAAATGAAATCCATTGCTACTACTCAGGGGGGAAAGAACATTGACGATTCTTCCCCAAAACACACACAAAGATAGGTATCTGCTGAAACTTCTCTAGGGTGTGACTGGATACCAGTTTTCAAGGCTGATTCCTGTACTCATGCCCATTCATCACTTTGGCCAATGGCTATAGATTTGGCCATCTTGTCTGGCTAAATAACGTAGTACTGACTGTTGCAGTATAACCACACTAGGCTAATACTCAGGTTCAGCTGAAATGACCTACTAACAAAAGCAATGCTGCTGACTGACCTCACGCAATACCAAGCACCAAGAGAGGAACCGACCTCTGTCAGCACAGGGGCAGAGTACTTCTGCTTGGTAACCTCTCCCTGAAGGCCAGTCAGTTTTGCCAACCTTGCATCTGCACCCCAAAAGCAAAGTCAATGTGATATGATACAAATAGACCTAGTATTTCAGCATCACACGTAGAATCACATGTGCACATCATGTAGAATGGGGTTTCTGTAGGCCTAAATGGAAAAATTACATATCCTGCCCAACTTATACAACAAATGTAGCCAAATAATCCGTTTAAAGGTGTGGACAGAAAAATAAAATTTAATTAACCTGAAACCACCCATAAACCTTTCCAGCTGCTTAGTATGTATTTGAATAGAGAATTCCAGTGCTTGGTCACACACAGTGGGGTTTGAAATCAGCTGCTTCTATTCGCTCTTTTGTTTTAGAGAGCAAGGGACCTTAGGAGCTAGGGGCGATTAGAGTCCGAGTGAAGCGTTGAAGGCCTTTTTAGAACCCTAGCAATGGAAAAGATGAGGAGTCCCCCATGATCAAAAAAACCCCAGCCTCCCCCCCGCCCCAAACCCCAACAACCTAATTCAGGTCCCTAACTCAAGTATAGGACTCTGAGTTAATCAAAAGCTGCATTTTTATGATCATCAATAAGGTAATAGATATGCTTTTTGAAGAATAGTTAACGATATGACCTAGTACTATATTAGATCATTTATAAAAAGAAAAGAATGAGCTGAAAAATCTTAGTTCTGGTGCAAGGTGTTTCTTCAAGGAAGGGGGATAAGTTTGCCTTCTCTTTACAGATAACAAGCTTCATTAAAAAAAAAGAACTATAGGACACAAAACTTTGTACACTTACTGGTTGTTTATTACCACAAAACTATTTAGAAGCTACAGAAGTCACTATTTAAAAGATATAAACAGATTTACTGATTATACCCTCATTTCTGCTCTCCTTGAAAAAGAAAAGATTAAAAAGTTTGCAGCCTGCTTATCATCTGAATTTAAGGATATTGGTAAGGGTTTTTTTTGCATATTTTATCCATCCTTAAAACACAGAAGATAATCAGACCTTTTATTTGTCATTTAAGGTAGGAACCTGGATTATCCCACTGAACTGTAATACTGCCCATCTTTGTGACTTCAGGATTTTGAAAGAACACTTCTTTAGTAGCAGCATTTGTATTATAGTCCCAAGCATTATTTAACTACACTTTAAATACATGTTTATTTGTTCATTAAATAAGCAAACACTAAAACATTAATAAATTGTGTTCTGTTATCCTGAAGAATTCATAGTAACACTTGTCCTCCTGAAACAGAGGTTGGTAATTGTTTCTCAGGAGTGGAAAATGTGGAATTTGAAGCAGGTCATGGATGTGAGTAGAAGAAAAATTGCCAACAGCAAGGGTGACAAGCTTCTTACTGAGGTTGCAAAATTAAACTGTGATGCACAGCACTGAATTGACACTGCAACATTTTTATTGCCCTAGGAAAGCAAGCCTCATTGTACAAACAGAATGGACATTGTCATATCAGCATTGGATGACTGTTGGTAGCATTTTCTGTCACTAAACTAGACTTGCTGATGATGTCTTATGCTAGAAAGACATGAAGTATCTATGTTATAACAAGATAAGAAAGTGGCTAGTATAAAAAGAGAGAGAAAAGGGCTAAGAGTAGAAGCAGATCAGAAGTTGCTAACAAAAAGATTAAAGATGAAATAAATGTTAATAGGAAAAGGGAGAACCCCTCCAAAAAATAAACTGGAAGAGAGAGCAAAAGAGTATAGCCTATCAGTACCATTGTCTGCTGGCAGCAGCGAACTAGAAAAAGCAGTGCCTCTAAAAACTTCAGAATGCAGAATCCTTCAGAAAGAATAAATAAGCTGAGTTTGACAGACATATTAGTAAGAATAGAGTATTAATTATTTGAAATACTCATCTCTACCTTCAGTCATTGACAGCACAGTGCCATTTAAACAGGTTTCTGAAGTAAACCTTTGATTCAGTAAATTATTCAATCAAAACCAGTCTGAGGAATAGCTTTATTTAAACTGTATTTTTATGCTCAGTTCTGTTCAACAATTGGCAAAGTTCAGCATCTCCACTAGACATTTTCCCTTCTCCCAAACGGCTTACCATTTTTAATACTGGAAGTTATTCATGTCTGAAATAACGTTCATTGCCATCAACATCTCAGTTTTCATCAGAACCCTGAATTTGTGCTACAACTTGATCTTCTACCAGTTATCTCCCTTGAGTCAAATCTTTGTCGGGCTACCCATTTCCTCTCGGGGCACAAAAAGAAGTCCAAGGATCACCTGTGACAAAAACAATGATTCCATTAGTCTGAATTCACAACAGGGGGTTCACTTATTAGATAAAACAATCTTTAATAGAGCATTTAACATTATCATTTTAAAACTAAAAGCCAAAACATCATCAAGAACAAACATATGCTGAAAAAGCTGATGAGATCTCCAATCTGATTATCAAAAGATAGTTCCATTCTTATATGTGAAATTTGTATTCTAGAAAATGCACTAACAGAGTAACACTCTTCAACTAGATTCTTACACTGCTCAAACCAAAACCCAGGGCCAGTTTGAAAAGCCTCCAAAATAAGATTCTTACTGATAGATCCCATCCCCCAATTCTGCAAGGGCTGTACTATTTAACAAATATTTGATTGAAAAAAAAAAATCATAAGTAGCTGCGTTCCTTAGTTCTTCCATAAGTGACTTCACTGATCTTACAGATTTTGGTCACGGATTACTCTCGAGTTCATTATTCTTTTGAGCACTCACAGAGCTGTCTTTACAGAACTGTTTGGACCTAATGCAGCTGAGGCAGATTTAGCATACAAACATTGTTTTTTCCCTTTTTCATTGCCATCTCATTCAGAAAAGTAGTTAACACACATACTTAAGTTTAAGCATGTCTGCAGTCCTAGTGAAGTTAGCTGTATCTTGCTGCTCTAGGGCCCTGGTGCCTCAGCAATGTCAGACTTCCTCTCTGCCTTCTTCACTAGTAACAAAAACGAATTTTAGCAACAAAACAATTGGGCCAAGAACATGGGAAACTGGGAAAAAGTACAAAAACCCAAACGCATCTACTGCAGAACAGAGATTGGTGAGAAGGGGGTGAATGCAACTTTCTTCCCTGATATGGTAGGTGCTAGTTACCGGCTTGGCACGAGTCCCTGTGTTATCCCAACTCGTGTCAGGTGTTAGCAGGCAAGACAGGCACAGAAGAGTGAGGGTGAGGCTGCTGGGGCCCTCTTCTTGCCTGCTGGAGGCTCCCTTCCAATCCAGGAGTCTGTTGGAGGGGTAGTCAGGGCACCTTTGGACCTCACCACATAAAGTGCCCAGGAAAAAGCAACCCACTGGGCCAAGAGAACAGTTTCAAAAGGAAGAGAAAGAAGAGCAGGAGGGATAGTAACACTCAAGAGAGCTTTCTTCACTGACCTTAAGAATGGTCCAGTCCTGCAATCACTGAGTACCCAAATCCCCCTGTCACCAAAATGGTAGGTGCATGAAAACTGACATTTTAACTTAACAAGCAGTAAATTAATCTCCATAGCTGCTCCCTCACCTTGTTCTTGATGCATTGTTTTTCTTGGTGTGGGTAACAAAGGCATAAGGATACTAGCAATCACTGAATTTGTGTGTAATATTACATAAATCACTTTAAATGATCTCTTCAGTTTTCTGAGATGCTCTAATCCAATGTTGATAGCTTCAAGTAAAACGCCACTTGTTGCAAAAAGTACTAGTATTTATAGAATCATAGAATAGTTTGGGTTGGAAGGGACCTCTAAAGGTCATCTAGTCCAACCCCCCTGCTGTGGGCAGGGACATCTTCAACTAGATCAAGTTGCTCAGATTTCTTTAATCCACCTTCCCTAAGGCTAGTTGTTTCATCTTTTCGGAGTGGAACTTTTGTTGAATGACCTTACTTCTGATCTGTGAATATTAGAAATGGAAAATGAGACACACTAGGATTATTTACACCAAACTTCTTTAAAATGAGCTATTCTCATTCTTTTTAATAATTAATTATTAAAGAAAGCACATCAGTTTAAAGTTCAAGCAGCATGAACGTACTATCAAGATACGGGCACTAAAATCCTTATGCCTTGAATGTTTCCCTTGAACTTTGTTTCAAAGTTAAAAGATCACAGACTTCATAAACCAAATTCAGTCTTTGCGTAGGCCAGCATTAAATTGCAGCTGTTCCCATCAGGACTGAATTGGTGTTAAGCACCTGTTAGATTATAAAGCCACCATAAAAAACCAAACAGACCAGAACTATGAAACTTATTACAAGTCAAATACATTAAATAAAAGAGGATCCTACCAGTTGCATCATCAGCTTCTGTGTCTAGAAGAGCATCTACTGAAGCCATGCTTGTGACTATGAAGGAGTCTGTAGTATCAGACACTCCTCGCTTGCTGTGACAAACTTCTTTGAGATACTGACTCCTCTGCTTTCATCAGTGTCTTTTACTAACCTTCTGACTGTCAAGAAGGTTACACCACTTGTCGAGAAGGTTTTTCTAGGCCTTCCTACTATTCCCCAATGCACTTTTTTAATCATAAGTCCACAGGTTCAATTTGTAGTCTTCCAAAAGTATTTATTTAATAGAGAGTGGGGCAGAGATGCAAGATGTTTTCCCCCACCAAATCCACCTTTTTAGCAAAGCGTTAAATACTCCTTATTTCTGTTAGTCCTCTCTTGCAAAGGAGGAAGAAAGTCTTCAGTGAGATACATTTTCTTCAGGAGGTATCTTCTGTTCCTCCCTGACCTTTTTCCAGTGGAATTTTCATCCTGTGTCCTTTTTCCTCAATAAATGTGCCAGCAAAGGACTTATTAATATAGGTTCTTGTAAAACCAGAAGTTTCTTTCTTATTACAGCTCTGTAAAAAGTTGTAACTGTCTTTATAATTAGCAAGTTACAAATTAATTGCATGTATAAATCAGATTGTTTTCAATGTAATCTCTTACAGAATAATCTGAATTGGCGTAAACAAGACTTAGGAAACTTTCTTCTTCATACTCACAAATATTAGGCCAGAGTTTTCTAGATACTTATGCCTCGTCATAAGTTTACTCACCTGAGTAACCCCTTCTTAATTCAATGCCAAGCTTAATAGTGGTGTTCACATAAGTAAAGTTATGCCCAGGCATAGGTTTTTGCAGGATTAGTCAAAAACCACTTTGCATACCATTTTGAAGCTTATTAATTATGTTCTTTCTAAAGTTTCTTTTTATTCATGTACTAAAAAAACTTTACTTTGAAGAAAAAAAGACTTTAAAAGGTTATTGTTACTCTATTTTTTTTCCCTAAAACAGACTATAAACTATTTCCCATCTTGTACCAAGTATCTACTTGTTTTAAGTAGTCCTTAATTTCAGAAGGTAAAACAGCATTTAGTTCATGTTCCAGTCCAAAATAATTTATGCTCAGAAGAATGCTCTGTTCTCCTAGCTGTAGGAGATAACTGTTGCCAGTTTGCTGCAGTTCTTAACAGCCACTATGACAGAAAAGGCAAGAACAAGAAACATAGTAAGAGTGAGCAAGTGAGCACGTGTTGGGATTCAAGAGGGATTACGTGAGATCTACAGCAGAGAATATGTGCACACATACCGCCCAACGATTCAGTTATGTTTCCAGAAAACAGGCACCACGTTTATTTCAGACTTATCACCAGACACGTCTGTATCGCAAACTCCCCACAGAAGTGCTGAAGTATATAGTTAGTAATTAAGGGGGAGGAGAATATCACCCTTTCCCCTGGAGTAACCCCAGTAATGTGCCTATCTCAACCCTTTCTTGCGCCACCTGAAAATCTCCCAGGGAACAAGGGTAGTCAAGTGCTGAGTTGGACTTCTGAGTCAGATTCTCCTCAAATATATAGTGTTGTAGTGTGCAACCCTGCCAGCTCCAGTGAGTGAAATTTCTGTCAATGAAAGCAAGAAGAGAATATAGCTTTTAGATTTTACATCAGTGGCAACCGCAGGGAGAAAAATCTGTTACTCTTCATTTTGATCCTGTGTGTTGGCATTCCACTATGGCTGAATAAAACTGAAATGTACAATCCATTTGAATTACCTGACTTAACCTTGGAAAGTTAAGCATGCCACTGTTTGCTGGAGTCCAATATTAGCTACCTTTATTAGACTAGCTTATAGCACAGCCTGGGCCCAAGTTCCCCCTCAGATGAATTTTAAACCAGTAGCTAATGAACTTCGTGGACTTATAATAAAGAACCTGACAGCCAGCTGTGAAAAGAAATAAAAGCAGCATTTCAGTTGTCACAGAGTGAAATTCAGCTTTCATTAACAATGCAGCTCTCTTCACATGCTCCATTTTTTTTTTTTCAATGAAACATGCATGGGGTTTTGAGTGCACAGATTTGGTACACGTGCGCGGCAGCTGGTCTGACATGATAAAGCAGAATGAATCTGAAGAAGTTCCTGCCTGTCTGACCAATAATCCTTGAACTAAGAGGGATTTACCCAATAGACCATCACACAATCTATCCTGTCAAAATTAGACATTTATTTTTTTAAGAACATGCCTAAATCTGTTTTCTGTCAGATGTTTCCCATTCCCCAAAGACCTAGACAGCAAGTAGGAGGTGAACAAAGAAAATGAAATTACTGTCCTGGGGTTTGTTTTTGTTTGGGTTTGTTTTTTCCTGAATCCTGCAATGTCTGTTACTTAGTATTTGCTTGATTTGAAGCTCCAACCATAGTATTTGCTGCTGGAGACATTTCTGTAACTCAAAGAAAATCGATCAGAAAAATGGCATCCAGCACACACAGACACACACTGTATGCCACAGCAGCATCCCCAGTACCGCGTCTAAATTTCATTCTTAAATAAGGCTTACTTGCCCTTCTTCTTTACTAGGTGGGAACTGTCGAGAGCTAAAAATAGCACCACGATTCGGTGGCGGGCGCTAAAAATACCCTTACCCGCTCGATCACCGACTCGGCACGAAAGACGAAGCCCTTAGCATCTGTCACAGCCTGTAACCGCTAGCTGGGGCTGAAGGCAAAGAGCGCCCAGCCCCGGAGTTGCGCGCCCGGGCAAAGTTTTGCCGGCAGACGACGAGGCCGCGGCGCTGCGCCCCGCAGCCGCGACCCCCTGCCCGCCCG